AAAAAAAAATTGGGGGGCTCCGCGCATTGTGCGCCGAGGGACGTGCATTTGAAAAAAGTGTTCGTTAAAGGGGGGGTGTTCGTTAATACCCTGGTTTACTCTAGATGTGTACAAATGTCAACACGAAGGGCATTGTTTCGTAAGCACCAGCCTTGTTGCATGTTTCGTCCTGCGTTCTGAATATGCTGTCTTGGTTTTTAGCGAAGTTGTGTGGAGGTATGCAGAGCCTACATAATATTTTGGTGGGGACAAGTCCCAACCACTGCGCTCTGTGACAAAAAGGAAGATTTTGGTGCGCAACACTTCCTTCCAAGCTTGGCTTAAAATATATATCTTTCGTGTGTGGTTGTGCGCGTTGTTCCGGTAGTTTTTGAAGTCACAAGGAAAAGACTTTCCCGTGCCGTAGTCCTTTACTCAGACTCAACGCGATACCATGCTCTTATTATACGGCGATGCATGGGCGGGCGCGTGGAACTTACTGCGAAAACGTCCAGGAAGCTGCTCATGATGATTCCCAACGAAAACGCTCTCCCTAGTGGCATATCTGCGGTTACCGGGTACAATGAACAAGGACTCGGAAGAAGTAAGGAAGCCTTTCGTTGCGATCGAAAAACGACCCTCGCTGTGTACCGACTACCAACACCATGAGCGGAGAACGGGGAGTAATACAAGAGGAAACATGCTTTTTTTTATCACGCCGAGTTCAGCGGGAAAATGCTGCGATGGGTGGGTACCTGCTACGATTCGAGATGTTCCGCATAGTGTTGTCTAATTCACTAGCGGGCGAAACGCTCCGGTCTCCACCACCACCACACAGGCGACCTTCAGCACGCGGTTACACGACGAACAGCCAATGCTCTCTTGCGATGCGCTTCACACCACCATCGTGTTCACACCACCACACGATAGCAGCGACTCAATCATCAGAACGACCTATTGAGAGGTTCAGAAACGTTGGTGTGATGATGGCCGATACCAGCGCCGTGACGGACGTAACATTCTTGTCGCGCCGGCAACATATTGCTTTGCTGACAACTTCTTCGCTTCATGTTGTTCATAAACGTTGAGGGTCACTCTCTTTCGTGCATGGGGGAACGGATTGTTAACGATTTGGCTACGTGGGACTGCAGCAAAACTCACATTTCAAACATCAATCCCTCTTTCAAACAATACAAAGGGGGAAGCGGGCAATATTGCTGAACCATCATCATGCACAAGGGTCCGCGACAAACGTGCCCGTCAACGCGCGCAGAACAAGTAGCACACAGTACTGCTGGACGCGCATTTGTGGGTTACATCGGCGCGAGCTCCACCCCCTTGAGAATGATGTTCGACGCCAAGCGCGCCTTCGCTACAAGGGCCTGATGATCTGGAAACCTCTGGACCGCAGCCTGGACAGAAAAAAAACAATCCACCAGCAAGAGGGGGCATGTCTTAGCAGAGGACGACCTTCAACAGCCTATTCCATCGATTTTGGTGGCGCAATAGAGGAAATATACTGTGGCATCTGCACAATGAATTTCTTTCCGGTGTTGTGTGGAAGGTTGCGATTTGAGTGGAAATCTGACTCGTCACCGTTGTGGCAGGCAAGGCAGCGCCTAGTTTCAATTTGTACCCTGCCCGTAGGGTCGGCTGAACAGCCATGAGACCACGTTTCGAGGAACGCTCATCGTTCCCCGTAGTCGTGAAAACCCATTAAATTCTTCGAGTTGGGTCACTACCGAGGTGCTGACAGACAAATATGGTTCTTCACAGATGATGCCTCGAGGCAGACGTGGCTGGGTGTTCCATTCCATCTGTTCACCCAAAGTGATTCCAGGAATTGACACCTTAAAAGGTCCTATCTGTCAAAAGGAAGACTACCCGTATTATTGTGGACCACAGCGAGATCTCATCTTCATTCGTTTTACCGCTCGTTACAGCCTTTTTCACACCTCCGCGCTAGATTTCATCGCCCTGCAAAGGCTACGGACTCATTCTGAAGAAGGCGTGATAGAATACTATTTGTGGATGGTATTGGGGACACCCACGCCCACTGGCGAGGCCTCTTTCGTACGATGAAATGGCGCGAAATTTGTTAAATCTGCAGCAAAGACAAAACCACTAGCACCAATGAAAGCACTTCCGATATCACCAACAGCGACAACAGCAACAATATGCCAGTACCATTAACATCCCCCCCGTGGTCTAGTTGGTATCCTCGAAACCTTTTAGAGGTCAGTCAAGGGGTTCAAATCCCGGCGTATGCGAGTTTTCTTGCAAAACGAGTTTTCCTTTCGCTTCTGATGCTGGCCTAGTGGATAGTGCCAGTTCGTGTGTACACAGAGGGAAGAGAGGGCTAGGGCTCGACTCTTCTCGCATTGAATATCGAAGGCAACGTGCTGCAGGAGGGGAGGGTAGAGAGGGGTCCGTCTGTGTGATCACGGGGTGGAGTAAACGGCACTGGTGCTGTGAGCGCTGTATTGAAGTGAATACAAAAATTCATATATACATCAACAATATCATCCACGACGACAATGGCACCAATACTACCAACGCTAAATATTTCGCTACCTGGATGGCTTCTATCGCGCCCTCTTCCCTAGCAAACCTCTGCACGTCGGCTTGCCCCCAGCCCACGTTGGCCAGAGCCCAGCAGCCAAAATGTTGCACGGAGGTATCACTTCACACGCGCGGAAGGGCAGAGGGTGGGGGGTCGGGAGGGAGTAAGGCATACCAGTGAAACTCGCACGAAAAGGGAATCGATGGTCTCTATAATAGGGGCATCATGAGCTCGGGGGATCGTCCCTCGAACATCGTCCAGGGCGTTGTGTGGGTGCCTTTCCATCGTGTGGTGCACGACCTAACGTTGCAAAGGTAAATCCAATGCAATCGTCCGTAGCTTTCCTCTGGATGAAGAAAAGACGACAGATTGTTATTTCACATTGCACCAATCAACAACGCGGAGACGAAGTGGAACTCGTGTACAGGTCTTATATTTGCTTTCATGGGTACGGGCCTATTTCACGTTCCACTCAGCAACTATGGCCGCATACGGCGGCCGGAAGTTCCATTCCAACGCTTGTAAGGACTGCCACGAAGCATCTCACTCGGCGTTGTTGATCATCGCTGCGATGATGGCACCCACCCCGCCCTCCCTTGCGATCACCCTCGATATTTCGTCGTTCGCTGCGAGCGTCAGGAGGGCCCAGCATGCTTGGCGCTGCAGCTTGGGATGTCCAGGGAAAGCCTGCTCGATTTTGGCAGGAACGGCGCGCACTTTCGTGTGACAATCCTTTCATACCCTCATGGCACGCACGAAGCTGGCCTGGTCGGCGGCAAAAAGAGATGATCACCTCTCCTCGCGTTCACGCGTACTTGACTTCGTGGTGGCGCTCCAAGCTTTGCTTTTGTCCCACTCATTCCCCGACTCTTTGTGCCTTTCGTCTAGATTTGGTCGTGCCATGTAGGGATTCATAACGTATTCGCGTCTGGTGGAAAATGCTTCGGGTGGTTTTATGGTTTGCGTGTTGATAGTTTGTGACCACGTTTGCGAAGAGTGTGGGCGAGGATGCAGGTTTGAGACAAAAAATATAAATACCGCAAGAAAAATCCACCGCCACCACAACCAACAATAACGCCTCATGAATCGCGATACGGAAGCCCGGAACAGACAGCATGTTGACAGGGCACATGATTGGCAGTTATAAATGGTAGAGGGATTGCCGTTAGGCGTTGGTGTTCTTCTCACCTGCATGGCGTTGAGGATGAGGATGAGACCTCCACCTTCGACAACGAGCTTCCTATTCCGGTCGCAGTTGTGGGAAAGGTTCGTAAATGCCGTGCACCCCTCCCCTTGCAACTCCGGGTCGGCTGGGTTGGCGGCCATGGCGCGAAGGATCGCGGCCGTGCCCCCGGAAGAGCCCACCTGAAGGCATTGCGCACACGACCACGAGGGTGAAGTGAGGACAAGCTCAGCCACATTGCGACGGAGACGTTCACACCACGGCGCGTGGTGGACCAGGCCACGCCAAGTCATGGGTCCCATCCACGGCACCAAGGGTGGGCTCTCAGTCCACAAGAAGTTGTTGCAATGTGCACAATAGGCCACATACTACTCTGGAGTGAATCTAAGCGCTGTTGGTTCGCAGCATAAGCTGTAGCACGCACCTCGATTCTGTTGACGTCGTTTCCGAAGGCCAGATGTGCAAGGGTCTTCACTCCGCCGACCTGCACACAAATACACATTGAACAAATTCGGTTAGAGACAGGACCTTCTCGTCCAATCACACTCAACCGTCCGGCACCGCAGCAAATAGCGCACCGGACACCAGCCGTGAAAACAGGACTCCTGTGTGCATAAATTTGATTGCGCACTTGCATCGGCATCGTATTCCTTGCGGAATGGACTCCTCAGCTCTTTGGCCTGCCCTATGCGCACCATCAATACTCCTCTCCTCGCTTGTCTGTATCCCGTGTACAGCTTGGGTTTGAAACCACGACAAAGTATTTCCCGAGTTTTTTTTCCGAGTTCAAACCGAGTGTGAGGGTTTGATGTCAATTAAGGCTGGTTTGAAGCTGGCTCTATTTTCATGCTTAACCCAATATACAAAAAGATAGCAACCTTCCCGCCGCTGCTAGTCTACGTTGAATACTGTTATCATGGTAGGAGACGCAATGAAGAGGCGCTGTGTGTGGAGGCAGAAACAAGTTTGCTGATCGAGCTAAAATACCGAAGGTCGCAGCAGTCTCCAGAAACGGCCCGTAATCTGCTCCGAATTTTGCCGGAACGCAAGATTGATCACAGCCGTGCTCACCCCACGTTCCGTAAACCCCTGGACGGCGGATCGTCAGCATCAGCTACGACTATCCCATAGTTCAGGAGATTGAGCTTAGTGGCGACGAGCACAAGCGGTAACAAGGCGCTGCGTGTCTGTCCTATTTGCGGATATGGTATGCCGCTACTGCAATTTTTTTCGACCCTCCTTGGCATTCCAAATCATTGCACGGGGAGAACGCGACACCGACATGCAGTTGCAGCTTGTAGAGACAACCATCCGAAACAGGTTTTCAAGGGTGCGTTCTTGAACACACAACTCGTGTCGGTCGCAACATGTGCTGCTCTCAGTGAAAACTATTCAACGGTCGTTCTGAGTCGTTGGTCAGGGGCTACTGGGAATCTGCTGATGGTCGAATGTTCGGACAAATGATGATTTTTCGAGTCGGCGGGACGAAAACGCACGCTTTTTTTCTTCGGCCTTGGACCCTCGTCATCGTTCACCTGTACTCTGGAATCTGCCGGGAAGCGGTTCATGGCGTGGACCGCGGCAGCAACGCCCCCAGCTGCTGCCACCGCCACCCTTTCCTCGTCGCCTTTTGGAGACATGATAAAATCGCAACACTAAAATGTTGGCGAGTTGGGTTGCTGGTGTCGTGTTAGCTAAGCAAACGGATCGTGTTATTTCAACGACAGAAATATGCCCGTATCGTGGAACAGGGACAAACAGACAGTCGTGGCTCCGATACCAGAGGGTACCGTCTATCAGCGAGCTCCGACATTAGAGGATCGAAAGAGAGAAATGTGCCCATGTTGTGGAACAGGGACAAACTGACAGTCGTGGCTCCGTGCCAGAGGGTACCGTATATCAGCGGGCTCCACCATTAGAGGGTCGAAGTCGGTTGTCACAGACTCGATCCGCTGTACAATAGTTAGTTGGGGTACAGCGGGGGCTCCGATATATGTATGAGAGTCGAGGGCCTGTCACACGACGCTCTTGTACGGGAGCCACGACTGTACCTCAGTATGGACATGAGCAATAGACGGCGGTACGGCTCAAATACCCATGATGAACGCTCCCGAGTTGCTGTGAAACGTTCTAAGAGTGAGATTCAAACTATTCAGCTGCACATACACGACCTTGGTAGCATGACCGGGTCTACGCGAGAGAAAGAGGGATTTTGTTTGAGTGCCCCGAATCGAAGCTACCTTCGATGCGCAGAGTGGACGCGGCCACAACAAAGATAGACATTGCCGGAGGGAGGGGAGATAATAAGAATGATAGACATGAAAATAACAACCTTCTCACCCTTGTAGGCTAAGTCTCTCAGGGCTCGAAGCCCTCGGCGCTGTATCTCGGGCCTCTTCGGATGTCGCCGCAGGAGCTCCGCGACGCCCCGCGGACCTGTTCAATAGCAATTCGCGAAATGACAGAAAATTACTGCGTGATTGCCGGCATTATTTGAAATCTATTATTTTTGTGTGTACTAGGTCGCAACGGCCACGGTTGTAGCCGTCATCGAAGACATGACCGATGCATTAGCCAGATATTTAGGCTAGAGGCGGTTTCTGTGAGAAATCGAAACAATAGCAACGATTCCACAACGCAAGAATTCAATGAGTGGATTTCGATGGGTGACACACTTACTTCAAGTACGCAACCTCCCTTGCACACGTGCCAGCTACCTGTCTCCGCGGCGTTGCCAACCATCGTTTCCGCTCCGTTGCCACTTCCGTCCTCTTCATCGTCGCTGCTACCGCTTCCCGAAGAAACCGCCGATGCAGGGCGGCGCCGAGCGCCCAAGATGCCGCCATCCCTTATGCCCATGAGAAGTAAGCGTGAAACCAGAAGACGGAGGGGGGGGNGGGGGGGGGGGGGGGGGGGGGGGGGGGGGGGGGGGGGGGGGGGGGGGGGGGGGAGGAGGACACTGACGAAGCGCTGTGTGGGCTGCTACTGGTGGAAATATGGTTTTCGAAACTTTAACGTCAACTTCGGGCGGCAACAGTAGTAAACATCCCGACTTTAGGCGAACGGAGATAAAAGCGCGGTATCGAAGGAGAATCTGGATAGCAAGTCATGTCGTCGTTGTAACGATCCAGAGGAGAATTAATAAGGACCCTCGAACGTGTTTCTCAATATTCCCACACATGAGGTTTTCGCGTCGAATTAGACATTAGAAATGGCAGTTCTCTACGTTGAACCTGGAACATACTCTTCAGCGAGGTGTTTTCGTCGACAAGTTGATGTGTAAGACACAATCCTTTGGTGTTCCAAGTCAGACACGACAAAAAAAAGGACAGTACTGCCGTGGTCAACTTTGTTGAGATGTTGGGGTCCTTGACCCAGGCAGAGTGCGTCACTCTCGGGTTTCCTCCATTCGCCGACCTGTAAACTGGCACTGACTGTGGTTCGACCGCTTCAATACAATTTGGCCCTGGATATGGGTGATGTTGCGGTGCTAGATGATGTCAACATACGCTGTTCTACTGAACCTAAAAGTGCGCAGGAAGAAGGCGACCGTTGGCAGCTACACTGTACCCCACACGGGAAATACTGGGCGATGCAAGACACAAGATATGTCGTCATGATAGTTCCAGAGCAAATGAAGCGCCAACCAAACAGGCGCAGAGAAGAGTTGCCGGTCCTCACCCCTGCTCGTGGATCTCCCCGGTGTGATCCGCAGCGTTTGTGTTGTTGTTGTTGCTGCCTTGGCTTTTACCTCCTCCTTTGAACAACCAGGGGGCATCCTTCTTCACTCGCTTTATGTCTTTCCGCACCCCGAGAACTTCGTTCTGGGTTACATCGCGGCGCGGCGACAAACATTTGCCAAATTCATGAGACTGATGAGCATTCGAAACTCCTAGTCCGATCACGCCTCGTTTTCAATAATTTCTGGCGCTTTTTGAAGTGCCGAAAAGAGAGAGAACGAGTGAGAGAGATGCGGCGACAGAAAAAAATATCTCCGCCAGCGTTCAATCTTCGGGAGCATGCAAACCCCTCGTCACATTAACTGTTGACTCTACACTACCAGGAATCGACGAACGAAGCTACGCAGATGCCTTGCACTAACACCGCACCTTTAGTGTTTCGATCTGCATGCCGTCCTCCTCTGCCTGCTTTCGAGCTTTGGTCAAGGCCTTCCCTGCCTTTTCGGCCCGCGTGACGGCGTCGCTCCTATTGCATCCACGGGAGAACCATCGCAAACAGGATCGACCATGCGCTAGTGTTTCATCCGGGGGCAGAGACGCGGGGCGTGACACACTCTTGTTTCCCATGGCTGCGGGTAGCTTTCGGGGGTGCTTCCGCTGAGCAGTGCAAGGCAACTCCCCGACAGGTAGACAAGATTCATGTGGGTTTTGTATCGGTTGATGGAACGGGCCTCTCCGTCTCAAGGAGAAAAATTGATGTGCGTCGAAAGGTATTATGCAAATTCTCGCCGTGGCATGCGTGCAAAGCCGCTCCCTGCTGCTCCCCTTATCCATATTGAGAATGCCCTTCTTCTCGTTTTGGGACCTCCTGGGCGTAGTTCATACGATACCTTGCCGGAATTTCTGTCACCTGTCCCTTTGAACGCTGTCCATTGTGCTTTTCAGTACTTCGCTTTGCTGCAATGCCGCATCTCGCGCGTCTTGGACGGCTTTCAGCTATCATCACGACATGGCCAAGCGTGCGTTGCAGAAAGGGGTGGAGGTATCGTGAGGGAAATCGAGTCTGCCGGCAAAACCAAGTGTTCGTTTGGGCACTGAGATCTATCAAGGGTTGAACTCCTAGATGTTCTGACCAAGCCGAAAGACATCAATAATGTTCAATCCGAAGCAGCGCTTCTAGGGTAGAAAGCAATGTGCACGTCCGGCTTCTCAACCAACACCCCTTCCCAGAATAGAACCCTACCATATCGTTGAGAGCGTCGATGTCTCGTTGTCTCTCTTCGACCTCCTTCTCCCTCTTGGCGGTATCGTCGTTGGCCCGTCGCCGATCCCCCTGAAAAACCCACACACACACGTAGGCCGCCGTTTCGGTTGATTTTGCAGTACATGAGACAAAACCACGCCTGGAAAATGAGCAAGTATTGCTGTACGTCCATTTGCCCTTCGTCGTACGAAGACGAACATTCAATACAACGTATGGTGGAGCTCTTCGCCGCTCAATCACCCACTTGAGGTCGTCCCCAGCTCTCTGTGCTAGTGGGATTCCCCGGGTTCTGTACAAAGCCAGTTCTAGCGTCATTGCAGGATATTCGAGAACCGAGGATGATTTCAACACTGGGTGTGAGTTAGGACCGACAAGGCGGGCAGGGCGTCGTAGTTCGTCGCTGGTACTACGGCCCTAGTGTAACTTCTGTCTTGTGTTTGCCCGAATTTACCGGCCTTCTGCTCGTTCTGCTCATGGGTGTCGCCTACCTCAAGATCGAGCATACGCTGCCGAATTTGCTCGGATTCCGGCAGCCCGTCGTACTTGGACAGCCGGTCCGTAGCATCTTTCAGGCGAGCCCGGAGGTCTCTCACGGTCCGTTCTCGCCCCTTCGAGCAATCGTCCACGAAAACGATGTAGGGCACACAGGGCAAAAAGGCTCGGCCACCAAAGCAACCATTGGTGAAAAAATGAAAACCACCAAGCTTCTAGATTGAGGTGGGTTCAACGATGGAAACCCCCAAGTGGAGGAGGAACCCGGCAAAAAAGCGTCCGTGTGGTTTTGGCTGACGTCCTGGATACGTCACATACACATTTGTTGTCGATCACTGCGTATCATCCGGGGTCGAGATAGGTCATAAAAGGCTAGGAATATTTTTCTGTAAATTTGCATCCAACCAAGCGCAGAGAAACACCAAGTAGTCTAGTACCTGAGCCTCGGAGCACATTGTAATATATTCCTTTCTGAACCTGAGTCGGTCCACCTTCTCCCCCTCCCAGCGGGAGATTGCTTGCCGTACCCTCGCTTCCGCCTCGCGAGTGGCCGCCACTTGCCCTGCCAGCTGCGTGTGCGCGCAGCACATATTCACCACGGAGAATTGAAGGTGGCGATGGTAGTCAACACCAACAACATTCGGCCTATCAATCTTCGTGTTGGGCACATTTTGTATTTCAGCAGGAGCTGAGGACGAAAAACGTGGAAATGCGTTGTTCTTAAATGCATTCACGAGAAATCTAGACCGATGCTTGTTGCCGTCAGCGTGATCCGCTGTTGTATCACCGTTTCCCAATCAACCACATAGCCTAATATACATGCTCGTGATCTCTTTGTGCGCACTAAGTAGACCTTCTCCTCACACTGCAATGCTTGTGTTTCATGGTATGCATGCTACTGCCCCAAGCTGGGGTACCGGACTTTACACCTCGTCTTTCGGCAATGAGCCGACATATTCTCCCCCAACGACGGCGACTGGCTCTTGGTCTCCGTTCGCCCTTGCCGGAGACAAAAGTAGAGCCCCCCTGCGCAGATTTCGCGGTCATCATTCCCCTCCTCAACCAAAGAGTCCGAAGGCGGTCTGCACTCGAGAAAGCTCCCGGACTCAAGCACAACGAAGCAGACCCTCGTATATCAGAAAATGTAACAACCCGCCTCACACACACCCATACACCGATATCACCAAAGCTCGCTTGAGCACGTACTCGTGGTTGATGCAGCAGGCTTGCGGTCAACGACTGTGCGAGAAATCACCTAGATGCCAAACGGTGGATGCACCGTAGGGACTACACGTCAGCTGACGGCGGTACTATGCAGAACCTGAGCTTGTCACCTGTGCTTCAGCTTGTTCTGCCCTCCGCCCCGCCGTAACCCTGGCTTCTTTGGCCTCCAGCGCTGCACGGTTGGCCAAGGTGCTATTGCCCTCGGCCAAACCCTGCATCGAGTAGAAAAAGTAAAAACAACACATAGTTTGGGTCTGCCGGTATTCGACCTGAGCCTTGCCCCAAAGAACAAGCACGGGCGTATTGAAAAGGCAACCAGTTTGATCCCAAAGTCAGATTTCCCCTTCTTCTGCAGTCTCGCGCATGCCCGCGTTGTCCACGAGCGTGCCGGCGATTCTGACAGATGTGTGTGGGAGTTGTAATCCACCTGGTACATGTGTATTAGATCACACAGCGGTTTTCGACTCATTGCCTGTCTGGGTGTCTCAGTGGGAGGTCTAGGCGCCGAGTGATGAGTGATGGTGTCTTCGCGGTCACCTGGCCTTGCCGTAGCGGTCGAGAGAGAGAGATTGCCGTGGCATTGCAGAGAGAGAGAGAGAGAGAGAGAGAGAGAGAGAGAGAGAGA